AGCGTCGTGATGCTTTGAACGAAATTGTTATCCTTGCCCTGTTGCAGCATGAGAACATCATCGCGTACTACAATCACTTCATGGATAACACCACGCTGCTGATTGAGCTGGAGTACTGTAATGGTGAGATCCCTACTCCCACTTACAAACAGGCGGCTGCCACATTGCTGAGTCAGCCTCCTGCAGAACCTGGAAGGAGTATTCCTGGGGTGTCCTCTGGGGAGTGGAGGAGTGGAGGTGAATTCTGCTGCGTAGCTTCTGAAGAAGAGACTGGGAACCCTGTTGATTAATTTGTGTCTCAGGTGCCAAATAAAGAAGCCTAGTAGTTAGTGCAGGCAGTTCAGGCAGTGGATGACTTCTTGAGTCTTCTGAGTAGCTGGTACAGTGGCAGAAGTGTTTTATTGGTAATGTACACGTACAATGCTCCTTGCTTTGTTCTTTTAGGAGGACAGTTGGAAAAGACCATGAGGATATTCGTGTCTCTGCAAGTACACAACAGGGCTGGTTTTCAGTAGTGTCTCTTAAATGGTGTCTCTCCATTCGGCAATTATAAATCAGAGCTTAAAAATCTACTGGCACACTGGAATCAGGACTTTTTCCTGCCTTGTGCTATCACCTTGTACGTTTACTATTAAAAAAGAAATAAAAAAATCCGGTCCTTCTGGTGGTGAAAACTTTAAAATTCCATCCAAGACTGGATGATTCCATCCATTTAGACTTATGGATATTGGTTTTGCCAAGAGTAGATAAGTCGGTATTGTTTGGACTTAGCAGGGGAAAGTCCCAGCTAAGACGGAGAGGTAGGAGGATTTGAGATGAAAATCTGAGTTGCAGCTGCTCTTAGACAGCTGAAAGGGGAGGTCATGTACAGCTAACACTGCTAGAACAGGATGCCTGCTTAGGGCTGTAATATGGTTCCTATTTGGATGAGTGGGACAATTCCCCTGGTTAGGTATCCTGTGTGTGTTTGGGGGTTACCTTAAGCCTTGGCAGAAACTTTTTTTGGTGGAAAAGGCTGTCATCATGTTGTCATCATCTTGGACAGAGTGCTTTCACTGGGACAAGTTGGGGAGGACAACAGAGTTGCTCAAAGTATTTTTGAAAGGTGTCAAGCGCCCTGGTTGGCAGGTTGTCCAAAGCTGGTTTTGCTTCTCTGCTTTTTGTTCTTGTGCAAAGTGGAGTCCAGTGCAAGAGTAGGGGAACATTAACTCTGATGCACCATTTATTTTAGGAGTACTCTGTGTAAGTTACTTAGCTGCCCTGGAAAGACTGCATGCTTGGGGCCATTATAAATTCATTGGAGAATGAAGTTGCATAGTACCGATGTCCGTACATGTTTGTTAATGTCTCTAAACTGCTTGTTTTACTTTGGGACAATAATCAAGATATAGCCTAGGTTGCCTGAATATGTCTGAGTGGTGTAGAACTTGGGACATGAGAAAGAAGGAATTTCATTTAGACTTATGGATATTGGTTTTGTCAATGTGTTAATAGTTGTTTCTGTGGCTTTGGTTACAGTGTACCAGTCTGAGATAATTTGTGAGTAATTTTTAAAGAATGGCTGGACTAGTCACTATCAGACACTCCTCAGAATCCAAAGGTTTTACTGTTTAATTGGCACGTCTCTTCTGGAGATCTAGGAAAGACTTTCAAATTTGAGTAAATATTGGCCCCATTTTACAGAGAAGGAAGCCAAGTTGTTGATTTATTTGCCTATAGTTCTGTACGTATGTCATGGTACCATAAGACTTGGATTTATCATGGGATAACATCAGTGAATACATCTGAAATAGATTTGGGAATAAATATCCTATAAAATACATTTGTTGAAGAGAGAATAGAATGTCAGAAGGTTAGATGTGATTAGATGAAACAAAGAAGAAAGTAATGTGGTTTTCTTTTTAGTATGTGTGCATAGAGGTATTGGTTATCTGAGTAAAGAGGTAATTGGTCTCCTTGTGTAGGATTTTGGTGATGTAGTACCTGTCATGCTGCTCTTTGGTTCAGAAATGCTGAAAAAAAAATGGCAAAAAATCAAAGACGAGGAACAGCATTCACTAAAAGCCTGCATAGTCTGAATGACTGGGAAAGAGGTTCGTAAGAAGAGGCAGAAATTAATGCTTTGGTTAAGTTGTGAATGTGAAGAGTGATTTGTAGATAACTTGCAAATGTGAACATAAGGCAGAAGAGAGAAAAGCTGAGATGTTATAGCAAGGCCAAATGACAAGAAATTAAGCAAAAGGAATCTTAATTAGAATATCAGAAAAATCTTCCTAACATGGAAGTCTGAAATAAGTCCCTCAAGGAGGCAAGGGAGCCATTGTGACCTGCTTTGGACATCTCCAACTTGACAGGCCTGTGAAAATCGTACAGCACAAATCTGTCCTGCACCATACCCATGGGAATGGGAGAGGGCTTGGTGTTCTGTTACTATTAGGACATAATATATGATAATTGGGAAATGGAATAGCGACAGAATGTGATCAGAGATTTGGGATTTACTGGTAGGATGCTAATCTGACAGGGAATCTCACTGCCTGCAGCCCCCAGCATCATTTCTTTTAGCTCTCCTTGATTTTTAGTTTGCCGTCTTGAAATTCTGAGGTGCCCTGAAGAGTCTGCTGATTTCAGGCTTGTGTTGGTGATGCTGCTGTTGTGAACACTTTGTGAATTCTGCATTGATGTATTTGGCAGGGCAGATGAAGGAGAGAGGCAGGTCAGAGCTGGGCAGTAAGTGAGGAAAGGCAGTAACTTGTGCTTTCAGGGACTACTTTGAATTTATAATTGCTTTCTTTATCTTTTTTTAATGTATTATTCATTTAGATATCATGCCGAGCAAGACAAACTCACGTGATTTGGTGTACAGGTTATAAATGTTTACATATCCCAAGAAGCGCTTACAGGTAAAAAAGTAGGGACTGCTCGCCTATCTTATCGATTCACTTTTCAGAGAGTGTTAAATGATGGTGTTAAAAGAGAATCCTCTCTGCTTAAGCTTAAATATACTAGTGAAGTTCTTAGGTGGAAGAAGTATTTAATTTTGTGAGTGCCTGACCAATTTAAACGAAGAGTGCTAAGGGAGAACTGTAGCGATTCATTAGATCTCTTAGGGGATTTGAGTATTCCCAGCAGTACCCAAGCAGAGTAACTGCTGCCATTAACTAAGATGAACCTCTCTTGATTTTCTCACTCACTTATAATTACAGGAGGGAACCTCTACGATAAGATTCTGCGGCAGAAAGACAAGTTATTTGAAGAAGAGGTAATTTGGAGTGGTATGAGGGAGCAGTGGGCTGGCCTAATGTTCAGGGGATCTGTCTGGTTATCTGAGTATTTATACAAGATTTTTTCCTTAGTGCTGATGGGGGATTTCTGTGTATATCTGGGGACTGATATCCTTCCCCTCTTGTTGAATATTGCAAGCATTTATGGACTATCGGAAAGTTATTATTTTCCTTTTTGGCTGTCTATTAGCAGTATAAACTTCCAAGGCAGGAATAATGAAAGAGAGCGCTCAACTGACTTTGGTCACCTTATCGTCTTGGCTAACATTTAACTTTAAAACCTCTTTCTGTGTTTCTTCCTGGTTGGTACTCAATTTCTCTCTTTTCTTTACCGTTTTTTAGGTTCTTTTCTGAGTAATTACCTTGAATCTGTCTCACCATCTCACTTTTTTCTTTTCCCTTTTCCTTTTCTTTTTCTTTAAAATTATTTTCTGCTGTCTGCTTCTACCTCATGCTGAAGTGGTCAATGATTACATTTAGTTATCTTATATAATGACTTTTAACGCCTTCCGGCTCACGGTGAATGTTAAATAGTCACAGTTCGTATTCCAGAGAGCCCAACTGTAGATCTTTCCCAGGTGGTCATTAGCTGTCATTCCTAAGTCTTTTAACTCATTGAATTCTGGGATGCTTGTCAGGACAGACACTATGAACAGCACTAGAACAATCTACCTTTTGGAATATCTTTTCAGAGATTTCAGGAAACAGGAAATTCTAAATTTTCGTATTCCTGAAAGAGCATCTAAATAGTATGGTCAGGCCCTCTTGCTGTGCCTCTGTGTGACAGGGACGTTTGGGGTTTTGGGGGGAGTTTTTTAAGCCTCACATCAGGCTTTTATTGCTACCTTTGCAGATGGTGGTTTGGTATCTCTTTCAAATTGCATCAGCTGTGAGCTGCATTCATCGAGCAGGAATTCTTCACAGGTAAGTGTGGCATATGGTGAAGCTAAGGTAACCAGCACGGTTCATGGATGTGAGTGCAGAACTCCTTTGAGTAGCCTTTGCTTCTGTGTTTAAAGCAAGCACTGAGCTGTTCTCCAAAGCGTAGCTGGGCTGCACAGATGTTAAGTATCCTTCTGTAAAGAGTTCTTATTGGGCTACAAACTGTCCTGTGATAAATGCACGAGAAATTGTGTATATGAAAATGGAATTGCTGTCTCTGAGCAGAGTTAAACTCAAAAAAGTTAATCCATGTAGGAAGGAAGTAAATTGTCCCTTTATTGCCATAGCACATAAATGATGTTTGCTAAAGTGGGTAGGAAAAGCAGTTACCACAGGCCAAAGGTACTTCCTACTTGCTCCACAATTAATAGCTTCAAACCAACATGTACATCCTTCTGTAATTCCTGGAGGCTTGCAGTGATGAAGACTTTGCATTGGTCCATTGCTGTAATATAACCCGTGCGAAGATTTGTCCTACATTTGGCTGAATCTCATTTCTTTGGCCTGTTACTTAAAGAAGTAATATAGCTTGTTATCTGGCAGTGGTAATTTTGACATTGACTGAGATTTTAATGAGTAGCTAATGGTCTTTTTCTGTTGCCCGTTTCTGTTTGGGAGGGGTAAATTTCATGGCTTACATGTGCTTCACAGAGGCCGTGATGTTCTGGGGAGTACTGCATATGTAGACAGCTGTTTCCTGTGTGGTTGTGTCGTGTGCTGCACAGCATTCTCTAACTAATGAGCATAGCTGTGTGAGGATGTTTTCTGTGGGATAGCATCCTGATTGCTGCCATTCTGAATCTTTGGTAATTGGCAAGCCTTACTAATGCAGAGTTGGTACCCTACACTCAATAAAGTAGTGCCTAAGTTTTTGACCTGAAGCAGATGTCATGTCTGTCCTGCTTTGCAGTGATTTCCTGCTTACCACCTCTGTTGCCCATCTTCATGGCAAGGTTCACAGTCTAGGAACACGTGTGGCCCCAAATCTTTCCATGATAATGAATTGAACAGTTATTTAAATGTTTGCAGTGATTTCCTTCTGCTGCAGACATTGTCAGAGTGACCCAGGACTTTGCGATGCCCCAAGTGGATGAATGCAAAGTGCTGCTTTACTTGATGTTGTCCTGATCTACACTGGGAAGTTGTTGATGGTACGTTAGGAAAAGGGGGTGTTATGAAGTGTTGGCCATGGGAAGCGTATCACGCTGCGGGGGCTTCCTCTCTGTATTTACATCATCTTGTATTGATCTGTGAAACTACATATAAATTATTCTGTTTGGGAGAAAGTGTTTTCAATGAGTTTTGGAATTGAACATTTTTGTGGCCATCAGCCTTTTGATCTTCTGGGCATAGTACATCATGTTATGAAGAGTTGTTCTTGAGGCATAAGATAGAAGGACGTTATTTGTAAGTTCCAGAGTGACATCTGTTTCACACCCTCTGTGTGTGTGTTTAGATTTGCATACATACATATTCATGCATACATTTATGTTTTTAGTGAGCTCAGCGACTCCTGGCTTGGGTCTATTTATAAAACTAGGAAAAATAAGACCTGCTGAATGACCTTCATACGAGAAGAGACTGAGAGGGGGAAAAGAACTATCTTTGATCTGTGGCCTTTACATAGGTGTCTGGAGGATGAGCTTTTTAGACTGTGTTGTGTTTGTGTGGGGGTGTGATAAAACACGGATAGCTGCAGTTACTGCCCCAGTACTTGGAGTCAAATTGCCTTTGGAGAGCTCTGTGTATGTGTGTGTGAGTGCTGGCAGAGTAGCAAGTACCTCATTTTGGGGGGGGAGGTATAGTAGTGTGTGGAAAACTGAAATCCGGAAATATATTTGAGTGTCTGCATTTCTTTTTTTTTTTTTTTCCTTTCAGAGATATAAAGACATTAAATATCTTTCTAACCAAGGCAAACCTGATTAAATTGGGAGACTATGGGTTGGCAAAGAAGCTGAACTCTGAGTACTCTATGGCTGAGACTGTGAGTATCTGTCATCTTTGTGTGCATACTGAGGTGTGTTTTTCTTTCATCTCTGCATGCCTTGCAAAAGACTGGGGATGCTGTACATTCTTGCTGCTTGTTTTCTGTGGTTTTCCTTTCCCTCTCCTCTCAAGTTCCCTCAATGTTATCTCACTAACATTGGCATATTTGGTGGTGTGTTGCAGCCTGCGGTTACCCTTGCTCCCAGGTTACCTTTTGGAGGTCTGTCTCTCTACAAAGCAGCAGTAGACTAAAGAGAAGGGCCACTGTGGGCATGGAAT